GAAAAACTACCTCTCTATAGTACTAGCTTAAAAAAATTACCTTTCAGAAAAGATGCTACACTTGATACTTTTGAGTAAGTTTAGAGGGATAAAAAGTGTTTAAAGTAGAAAAAAGAAAAAGAAATAAACATTATTGTAAACCGCCTATACATTCCTCGCTTCGCTCAGAATCTAAAAGTATGTGACGTATAAAATAAGAGTTTAATATATAAATTTATCGACGCAGTGTAATGTTTATGTTACGCTTATAATTTCACCACTTTGGTTAGTTATTTATCTGATTTCTAAAAGCGTAAGAATAACGTTACCAACTTAGTGTGTAGTTTACTAACAGAATTAAGTTCCTGCCAAAATGCTATTAGAATTACATTTTCACTTATAGTACATCCGTACGGACATATGTGTGAAATTGATAAAACACAAATTCACAAATCGTACTAATTGGAAAAGAAAAGTGCAGGCAGAACCCTGTGAGTACAGTACATGCGTATACAAGGTGAAAACTGGACGATATTATACGGACTGTACGTCATGTTGGCATGTCAATTTTATTCTGAGACGTGGAGGTTTGTCGATAATATCACGATATCTAATTGGTCGGACCAATGTGATGATGGGATGGGGCGTCAAAAAATGACGAAAACAAAAATAGACCTATTCTCAGCAGGGTGTAACCACAAGATGTTGACACACGTATAACAGCTACAGGTAACTATTTAATAATTAGTGTAATTTTTATTTTATTATAAATTATACTTTTTATTTTTTTTTTTCATCTCGTCCTTATAATTTATACTGCGCGATCCTACGTTCGAGTGTAAACATGTCTGACGAACAGAATCCACACGACGCTGTGGCTAGGGGGTGCAAGGCAGGAACGACCGTACGACCGTGACGCAGCTGTTTTGGCCCCTTAACGATGACCGCGCGGTCGTTGGACCAACTCGGGTGGCGGGCACCTGCAGGCACGATTTGCATAATTTATAAAAGCGGTGTGTCGGCTGCTGTTGCCGCGGCTATTCATTCACCGGAGCTCTTGTGTATTTCAGGACACGGTAGAGATATTTTATTCGTTGGCCGGTGACAGTGGGTGTATACGTGAGCTGGATGTCAATTCAAAGATTTAATAAACCGTCTGCGGCGTCGAGCTCCGAATTAAGACGCGAGTCCAGAGAAAGACACCCGTGAAGGATATCGATATAGAAAGAGTGAGAGGGGAGAGAGACAGAGAGAGAAATGGATGAGGAAAAATAAAAGCCTCTACCATCGTCGTCGTCGTGTGACGACCGGGCGATTGATTGATACCCGTTGACCGATAATCGAATAAAAACCCTGGCGAGGGACAAAGCTGATTGAATTCAGCATCGGCGGAAAAGGTTAGTTGTACAGACATGTGAGGGGTGAAAGCGGTTGCTGGGAAAGGGAAATGAAAAACGTATATTATAATCAGACTTGACGAGAATATTATTAGTGCGGATTTGTTGAACAATTTGAGTACGAGCGCCGATGATATATTATATTATATAAGGTCCAAAGTTCTTATACATTTTCAATATATTATTATATATTATATATATTCGTTTACATAGTCGGATCGGTTGTAAGCGCCGAGGTAATTTTTGTAAAAAAAAAAAGGCTTTACGGGATCTCGTCTCATCGTTCGTAGTACCAACAGAATTGAATGTATTTTTTTGTGCTTAAAATTATTAATTAATATGAGATAAAGAAGATATTATTGTAGCCCGTATTGAACTTTTAATGTTTCGGCTTCACTCGTAACATTTATTAATGGTATATATTTTAAGATTTCTTTTAAATGTTTTCTTTTTCCATAATTATTTGAAATCAAACAAATATTGCATTGGTAATAAATATTACAAGAATTTGATTTAATGTTTTACGCGCGGCTTTTAGATACCAATGTAAATGATAATGATGATGATGATGATAATATAATAATAATAATAATAATAAAAATAAATAATAATAATAATAATTATGATATTGTCAATAATTCGCTTATAACAAAAACTAATATGATTCCGAATAACGCTAAATTTGGTTCATGAAATTTATTCTTTTTTGGCCAATACAGTTGTATTGTGAAAGCGTTATAAAATGAAGCGATGTGCATTCATTTTATATTCCAAAGGTAGTTTGAAGAGCTGTGTAAATAGACTTTTGACGAAAACCAACCAGCTCACGGTGTATGCATACGCGCTATATAGTGTGTTTTCCCACAAAACAAGAAGGAAAAAAGTGAAAGCAAAACGTTTTACAATGATATGGTGATATGGTGATATGGCGTGTATCCAGCTGTAAGACAAACCGATAATATACAGAGTGATTTTTTTATTGTACAGCACTCATTAATTTTAAAAAAAAAAAACATAAAATATTAAAAATATTTCTATTTGATAATCTTATGTTGATATTTTGTTACAGTACTAAAAAAAATCATGTTTTAACTATATTTTATCGTTATCATTTTTCAGTATATTAATATCTTGAATTATGATGCACAATATATTGAATTTTATATCCTAAGGCAGAATATTATTTGAAGTTTTTCAATGCATATAAATACAATTCGGATATGGGTACTTTAATAGTATTTAAAGTTTTGATCAGATGAGTAGTAAATCGACATTTTGCGTGGTGCCCCTGTAAGACTCTACACTAAACTTTTAACTTTTAAATACGTAAACCACTTTTTTAAATGTTAACGTGTAAAATAGCAGAGAATAAATGTTTTAAAAAAAAAAGTTTGACTTCTAACCACTTGAAATCACGCCGCAAAAAAATATTTTCAAAAACGTTAATTATTGTTGACATAAAGAGTGTGGTCTCACGGTAAACGAATCCATCCGGTAAATACAATAATACGCATATAATACAAAGACTCAACAATAATAGTCACATGCTTACGAGTTACAATATAATCTATTTTAAGACATGTAATGTGTAGCAGCAGCAACAGTAGCAAACAACAGCAGCAGCAAGCATATTCAGTAATACGACTATCTTACGAGGTAATTGAGCGTGAATATGGCGAGGAGATGAGGAGCCACGCGCCGCTTCTAAATTCCATCGAACCATCGCCCTCCTCCACCCTCCCCACCTTAACGTGGCTCCTCTACAATCCCGTTTCGGCATGATATAATAATAAAATAAGCACGGGTTTCATGTTATTGAAATCACATGAATCAACGGTCCGAGCACACGATTTCACCGAAGTTTTCGTTCAACGTGGATCGGGGTACGAGAGGAATGGTGAGAAATTATTACGATAAAAACGAAACGTCTTTCGGCCACGGCCATCGGTCTGGTGCATATCTACGGTGGCTTCTACATATTATATTGTTATTGTATGCAATTGAACGTTATACACTTATTGTACGTTTTCGGATTCTGCTGATGTATACCGCCTCCGTAAACGATAAAATAGTCTGGTTAGATTTACGAGTATTTATATTATGATTTATAAATCAGATGCGTTAATGTTAAAAATAGATGGATGTGATTAATAACTACAAACATCGAAGTAAAAAATAATTTTACTATAGGTTCCTTGGATAACACACGGGATGCCCAATAATAGGCTCATCGGAGGCGGCTATATTATTGCCGAATTAATTATAATTTATGCTCTGAAATTTTAATTACTGTGATTATATTATGTCTTCCCAAAAATAATATTTCTACACGCAGTCATAATTTATGTATTAAATAGCACACATTTATTAAGAGGACTACTTTTTGAATTTATGAACCATTTATTCACTGCCACTGAAGTAGGTAATTATATTTTAGACGTTTAACGGTTATAATAATATTATTTTCCGGAGAAAAAGCTTTTGACAAAAACAATAATATTGAAGTATTTGAACGTGAAAATTGTACATGAAATATTTATCTTACCCCCAACCCTTCCCAAAATGACAATATTCTGTCATCTAATTTCTTTAAACTGCTTGCAATCAACGGCCGTCGAAAGGTCTTTTAAAAACTTTCATTGTATTGTTAGAATATTAAAATAGTATAACACAAATGTGATTAGTAATAATGACAAAAAAAAAAGAACAAAAAACATAATATTATACTTATTTACGCTTTGTAATGACTTTTTGTTACATTGTTTTTTTTTAAATTCAAATACAATACCTTCGCATATAAAACCAAAAAGTATTTCCAGATAATACATACGATTCATACGAATACACTATATTAGATGTATCTTTTTGGATTTTGTGAGGAACATAAAATTACATCACTTTTGTGTTGTACAGTAGCATTACAACAGTAGTGATTTTTGTTACAAATCTCAAAGTTTTATTAAGATGTTTCTAGAAATCGCTACATAAATTCAAATAGTAAAACAATATTTTGAAAATTTCCAGATACGCTCATATATATAATTAAAAGTTTAAACTCGTACTAAATAATATATTTTGTTAAATATAACATATTATTATATTAAAATTATGTAAATTTGAACTATTTATCAATAATCATTGTTTAAAACTTATATTATAAAATATAAACATGGTAAAATTGTAAAATGAATAATTTTTATTTTTATCATTAATTTATCCCATTTACATAGAGATTAAAGGGAGTGGAAAATAATTAGAATTTTTGCAAAAAAAAAAAATAATGTTTGTCTCATGTATCTATAATTCTTTGAAATACTCGTTGACGCATTKGTACTAACATTGAGTTAAATAAATGTATAATTTTTTTTTGATAATATACTTTCTAGGTATTGTATAATGGATGACATTTTGAGAAATAAAACCATTTAAATCCCGAAGTATGGAAACAAAATAAATATTTCATGGAGACGATATTTCCAAAAAATATTGATCCTTAATATTTCCAAAGTTAACTTCTATAGGTTTTAAATGCATGAAATTAGTTTAATCAACTTTTACTCGGCAGCTTAACATAAGTCCAACATATAATTAATTTCAATACGATAATTATGTAAGAATACTCACTTTGTGTGCCCCTAAGTTTTCGATGGTGCACGATAAAGTGGCCCTCCGGCCAACCGTGGCTGTTACGTTCTGTAACGTTCCGTTGAATCTGGGATCCATTTTTGTCGAATCCGTCTTTGGAGTCGGTAAGTTTGAACCTGAAACAACATTTGCCAATTGGAGATTATCGTCGAGGAGACATTATTATAATAAGCGTGGTGGATTATGTACAGAAAAAAGAGAGAGAGAGGAAAGAAAAGAGACGGACAAAGTGAGAGTCGTTTCATGACGACAACGCAACGAGGTGTATAATAGTCATCACCGTCTGTATATTCGCGGTACTTACACCGTTTTGGGTGACTATAATGCGAGTGCCCAAAGTCCTTCTCAGGCATCGAGCCAGTTCAATTAACGAAATTACATTTCCCTAAACAACGAATAACAATAAACGTTTGCATGGTTTTCTTCTTCCGTTTTCTTTTCTTCTACCTTCTGACGCTTTTAATGAAACTACCAGTTTATTATTCTGTACGAGGCATGAGCCTCCGTGACCGTTAGCTCACCGTTTGTTAATTAAACAATTACAAGTTCTAAGACATGTTTCTTTTATTATTACTATTATTTTTCGCAATAAACTTGTTGTCCGTATAATTTAAACAAATCGTCTATACGGTGATTACTACGAAGAATTTTAAGGCGCGCTGAAAGCAACTATATACTATATTATGTGATTCATGCAAATATCGATTGTTCGCAGGACCGTCTTAATTCAAGATTTTAAGGACCAGCTGTCGGTGCTTTTCATTTTATTCGAACGGTAATAATAGCGAAAAACAATGATATACCGTTGAATTTTTCTAACACGTACACTCACTCCGAGGCTTTTCGGTTCAGTTTTTGTGAATTACACGATAGTTTAATATCATTATAAGTGGTTTTATGGATATAATTTATCGCCCTGCGAGAGAAACGAGTCTTATCGGCTCAGACTACGAATAATTCCGCAGTTGGATTAAATCACGGCATGAAAGCAATATTTCCACCGTAAGTTCGCATGGCTGATCGAGATAATACGTTAATTTGATTTCCGTACTGGAAAATAGTAATCGTTGTCAACGACTAAAAACAAGAAGTGAAAATGATTCATCTAAATGTGGTGCATTATGCGCATGACGAGTTGCAATAAGAACGGATTCAGCAGAAATACAGCAGCCGTGGTAATAAACCACCGTCGTTGATTACAAAGACCAATTATAATCAACGGTAAGCATTTTTTTCCTTCCCCTATTCTCCCATCCATTCACACACGCACCCGCCAGTCATCATCACTGGCCATTTTAATAGTTTTGCGAGCCGTAATTTAAACGGATGTACGCGGTAAGTTATACGATTAGAAAAACTTCAAATTCACCTGATTTGTAGTCGAGAACACGTAGGTACTTGACTACCAGCCTACGTATATCTGCAGCGGACCGACCTCTGGGTACTATTATTTCTAAGGTATCTCATTTTAGAAACTACCTACCTACTATAATTTCCTACAATCACACATCACCGATGGATAGTCAGTAATTATATTTAGTTAATTTAATTCCTAGATTCCCCATGAAGCATACTCGACAACTGTATTTAACTCGATAATGACGTGTATTGGTAGTGCCCATACGTTAATGCTCTGATTATATTGCGAATGTGGTTTTTATAAGCTCGTACGTAGGTATATTATCATTATTGCTTCGTCGTCACATATTTGATAAGCAATCGCAGAAAATTAAATACCTTAATTTTTTGTCTGTATCTTCCCATATCATAGTGGTCACACGATTTATTATGGTTTGATTGCGTTTTAAATTTGTTACTAGATATCGAAATTCATATATGACGTAGGCGGTACATTTTAATCATGCATCGTAAGATTACTTTAAGGTTAAAATTATATTTGACTATAGCGCAGAAAGACGAACAGTGTGTCATCAAAAATAGTTATTAATAATCAATGCTGAGCACTATAACTACTTAGAAAATTACTTAAAAATTTGTTAACTTACTGACTTAACGAGTTAGTTGTAATTTATATTAATTTTGTAAAATAAATAGTTGAATTTAATATTTAAAATAATCTAATCTAACTCGTTAAAAAATACTAATTAATTTTGTAGTTTTTTTTTCATTCCAAAAATCAAAATATTCTGTTAAACTACTGAGTGACATTTATTCTGAGTATCTATAAATTATAGCCATGCTCGTATTGTAATAATAATAATTAATAAATATTGAGTATTTTCAATTTTATGATAAAAACATCGTTCTTCTGACATTATGTCTTATTAATTATAAAATATACCTTTTTTTGCAATATACGTTAGTCACTACACTCATAATAATTATAAATTATAATGGCCAATGGATACATTATATATATATCATACATAATTATACGAATATTATATAAAGTATAGTATCATATTTCTTATTTTGAATGACTGGTATTCCAATACTTTTCCTAGAGAAAAGATTATTAATTATTACTTAGGTACCTACTTAAATGTTGAGACATTTGATAAAATTATTATAAATTAGGTCACCAATAATTTAAGTAAGATACGAGACACCGCGTTATTAATCTTTAACATATTTTGAACAAACTGTCTTAAATTTATATTTTAAGATCTATAAAATTAATTTCTAACTTTTTCTTCTTATTATTTTCGTATTTAATGATTTCATTTGATACAATTATTCATTTATTATTATTATTATTATTTGGACTAAAGGTATAGTATGTTTCTGCACCATTTTAACTTAAGGCGACGAGAAGGATTTATTTCTAACTTAAGTAACTATTTTCCCCAAATTAACTTCCAAATAACTAAGTTAGGAATCTTTAATTTGGAAAATTCCAGAAACTCACTTATATTATATTATATTTTTATTCGTTTAATAACGCAGATTAAACAAATTGAAAAAAACGACTAACTTTTCCAGCTTTATTAATAATTGTCTTTTATTTTTATTATTTGAAAAATATAGTTTTTTTTTAAATTTTTTAAATCGAATTTGAACTATAAAACAATAGAAAATTATAATGAATAATATCTACATTAACCAAACTACGTGTAAATATTATCATGTAATTTTGGTTTTGATTTTTAAAGTTTGTATTAAATTATAAAAATTTGCACGGGATCGATAAAAATTAGAAGTGGACCACTATTTGCACGTTCCTATTGTAATTTCAGTTATTAAATATAAATCCAATATACTGTAGTATAATAAATGACTGTAGTAAATAAAATTTAATATAAATATAATTAAAATAGATGATTGATTTTGTACGTATGACCTTGAAGTTCATAGCATTTTATATAGTTTTTCACAGATGATGTATATTTGTTAATTACAAAATATATCACTATTTAAATATTGTGGTGTACATGATTTTATTAATAATTGAGTTCAGATTAAATTGCTTTTTAGAGTAAAATTGTATGGGATATTATTAATATAATTTTAAAAATCATTAAATTTGTGAAGATTAAAATTAATTGAATTTTATAATGGAATCCTAAGACACGACTCTTAGTACGGACAAAATGTTGACGTTTACATAACATTATCTTGATTAATACAAAATAGGAATTAATTTGTGAATATATAACAGATATATATATATATATATATATATATATATATATATACACACCAAGCTTTATATCTCGTTTATAAATAAAAAACATATTTTTATAATATGCTTTCAAATTCGCACACACGTTATACAGAAATTTCCTTTTTATGGTCTAATATCAAAGCTTATAAAAGAAGAAAAACATATTTAATCACTATAATCATTGTTTTGAGAAAGTCCAGTCTTGAAATAAAACTGATTTGAAGCTATAATCTGATGAAGTAATTTGGCAATATTGAATTCGTTGTTCGTGGGTTCATACTAGTATTTCATTTCAAATATACACGGTCACTGCTTTTTTTTCTTCTACTCTGATTAATTGAAAAAATATGTATTATGAACAAACAGTTTTGTTGATTTAATAACTGGGAAATTCTACCCAGAGAAAAAAAAAATATAGGTATTCAATAAAATATATTGCATTCATTGTAGAACAAAAAACCCTTGTTAATAGTTCGTTACAAATTAAATAAATGAGTATGGAACGTCAAGGAATATCAGTTGAACATTGATGTAACATTGTGGATACAATATTTAAMAATTCGGTAAATACATCGTAAGTACTGGTTGAACCACGTATCAATATTAAATTCGCGTAATATATTAGTGTCATGTAATTTAAAATGAGATTTTAATGGCAGTTGAATAGAAATTCTACATCGTCAAGCACACTGTGATCTTACGAATCGGGGAGTCAAAAAGGTCGAAAAAAACTCGTTACGATCGATTGTCCTGCAAAGATTTCGGAAAACCCGGCAAAGCTTTTACACACAGGGCAACAAGTGTGCAGGTCATAACAATCAAGAACGGGAGCCCGCAAGGTTTACGAGGTTGAAATGGAGAGGCAAGCGAAACGCACGTGAACAGAAATCTTCGATGTGTGAACCGTGGCTTAAAGTGGCGTGGCTCGAGCCCGATAATAAAATATTGTGCTATTACCAACATTACCCCCGTTACAAATGGACCGGCTATGTTATTTAAAAAAAAATTTTATGTGAATACACTCTCTCCATCTCTTCTAATGTTGCTTAGAAGACGTAAAGGTTTTTTGGGGTTGTTTTGGGGTATGGGGTCGAGCTGAATGATCATTCGGAAAAATGTTAATCGGCTTTCCGACTTGTGAACTCAGTTCCGTATTCAGGTCACGATGTTGGCACACATACATACACACGGACGGACGTTTGAACAACTGTGACTGCCATTCTCACGGAAATCCGTAAAGCGAAAACGTGAGATTAAACAAATAAAATAATCATAATAATAAATATCAGCACGTCCATACTGAGAAAAACTCGAATGGAGATTGTTTACGACAGCGGCGGTGACTTAATAAACTTTTTGTACTTTAAATATATACCTACACGGTCGTTACTACATAGGTACCGTTTTATTGTTTTTTTTTTCTTTTAAGACGCGCATCAGTTCTTACGTGATCGCATCACGCATCACATTCGATTAAAATAAAAGTTTACA